AGCCGGCAGTGGTGGTGTATGCCTTTAATCACAGCACTCAGGAGGCAGAGGCAGGTGGATCTCCATGAGTTTGAGGCCAGCTACAGAGAGAAACCCTGTCTCAAAACCACCCCCAACCCCCCTCCCCCCCAAATTGTACTATAGAGCTATAGTGATAAAAACAGCTTGGTTCTATTGTCAAAGCAGATAGGTAGGACAATGGAACAGAATAGAGGGCCTAGAAATAAGCAGATGAAGGTATGTCTGCCCCATTTTTAACAAAGGCTACAGTATATACACTGGAAAAAAGATTACCTGTGCATCAAATGCTGGCAAAACCAGAATCCACCTGCAGAAGTATGAAATTAGATTTATATTTTCCACATTGTACAAAATTCGGTTTGAAACAGATTAAAGAACTCAATTTAAAACCAGAAACATGGAAATTTCTAGACAAAGACATACCCTTCAGGACACTGGTAAGAATTTTCTGACTAGGTCATTAGCAGCACAGGAACTAGTGCCAAGTACCAATAGATGGGACTATGTCAAATCAATGCAAATTTTAATTTGCATTTACCCAGTGGCTAAATGTGCTGAACAAACTTCCAAATGTCTATTGAACATTTGAATTCCTTCTTTTGAGAACTGTCTGTTTCGTTAGCTTCTTTCTTCATTGCATTGCTTGATTTTTCACATTTACTTAGTTTTTTTTATGTTATAGATATTGATTCCCCCCACCCTCTGTCTCTCACACACACAGAGATAGCAATTGTTTTCTCCCGTTCTCTCGGCCATCTCTTCACTCAATTAACTGTATTAACTTTGCTGTGCAGAGGCTTTTTAATTTCATGCAATCTTACTTGCCGTTTTTTGGAGCAGCGCGCGGGTGGGGGGTTATTTCCTGTGCTAGTACAGACCTGTTCAGAAAGTTTATGCCTGTACCTATCTCTTGAAATGGTTTTCCTGTTTGTCTCTACTGGATTTGAAGTTGCACATTTTACATTAATGTCTTTGGCCAATCTTGAATTGATTTTTGTGAACAGTGAGAGGTATGGATCTATTTTTATTTTTATTCTTTCATTTGGATATATTTTCTAATGCTACTTGTTAGAGAGGCCGTCCCACCAAATATATCTTTTGACCACTTTGTCAAGAGTTAAGTGGCTGCAGCTGTATGGCTTTATTTCTGCATTATATATTCTATTCAGCTGATCAGAAAGTTTGCTTTTGTGCCAGTACCATGTTGTTTTTGTTACAGTGGCTTTATAATAGAATTTGAGAGTAGGCATTATGATTTATACAGCACTGTTATTTCTATTTATGATTGCTCCTGGGCCAGGCCTAGGCCCTTCCCCATGTGTCCAGGTCAAGAGAGCATCCCTTCACAAGGGATGGGCTCTCAAAATCCCTTCTTTTTCTTTTTAAGACCTTACATATTTAATACAATGCATTAACCCTGTACAAATGGAAAAAATTAAGTTCAACATTTCTAGACCAATATGGCTGTTAATTTTTGTACAATGCCAACTCAACACGGTAAACTGAAATACTTTTTTCCAAAGTTGACAGCACAGCTACAGTTTCCAAATATTCAAATTATATATGTATATATATATTTACATTTATATAAAAAGACCAATAATGTCAGTATGTTATGCATCAATAGCAGAAACAGCTTTTCCAGGTTCTGCAGTCATTTGAACAAAATTGTAGAAACATCCAGCACTCTCCATTTAAAAAAAAAAAGTAAAAAACAAAATCCCAGAAAAACAGCATACTTCTGTTACTCTTGTGGTACCTGGAACCATTTTTTTAAATTAGCTTCTCAATCATCATCTGGAAGGAAACCATTCTGAGCAACATCATTAAAAACAGCTCTGATAAAGCACGGTCACTACTATGTATCATAAAGCAGGTCCACATATGAGTGAGTACAGATCATGTTTGTCTTTTTGTGATTGGGTTACCTTGCTCAGAATGGTTTCTTCAAGTTCCATCCATTTTCCTGCAAATTTCAAGATTCCATTTTTTTTTTCTGCTGAGTAGTACTCCATTGTATAAATGTACCACATTTTCTGTATCCATTCTTCAGTTGAGGGGGGCTGCTTCCAGTTTCTGGCTATTACAAATAATGCTGCTATTAACATGGCTGAACAGATGTCCTTGTTGTATGAATGTGCTTCTTTTGGGTATATGCCTAGGAGTGGAATTGCTGGATCTTGTGGTAGACTCATTCCCATTTTCTTGAGGAGTCGCCATACTGATTTCCAAAGTGGCTGTACAAGTTGGCACTCCCACCAGCAGTGGAAGAGTGTTCCCCTTTCTCCACCTCCTCTCTAGCATAAACTGTCATTGGTGTTTTTGATTTTATCCATTCTGACAGGAGTAAGATGGTATCTTAGAGTTGTTTTGATTTGCATTTCCCTGATGGCTAAGGATGTTGAACACTTTCTTATGGGTCTTTCATCCATTTAAATTCCTCTATTGAGAATTGTCTATTTAGTCCTGTACCCCATTTTTTAATTGGATTGTTTGTGTTTTCGAGAATAGTTTCTTGAGTTCTTAGTATATTTTGGAGATCAGCCCTCTGTCAGATGTGGGGTTGGTGAATATCTTTTCCCAGTCTGTGGGCTGCAGTTTTGTCTTGCTGACTATGTCCTTTGCCTTACAGAAGCGTCTCAGTTTCAAGAGGTTCCATTTTTTAATTGTTGATCTCAGTGTCTGTGTTACTGGTGTTATGTTCAGGAAGCAGTCTCCTGTACCGATTAATTCAAGGGTATTTTCCACTTTATCTTCTAATTGGTTCAGTGTGGCTTGGTTTATGTTGAGGTCTTTGTTACATTTTTACTTAAGTTTTGTTCAGGGTAGGACAATGGAACAGAATAGAGGGCCTAGAAATAAGCAGATGAAGGTATGTCTGCCCCATTTTTAACAAAGGCTACAGTATATACACTGGAAAAAAGAAAAGGCTTGGGTCAATCTGTAGTCTTCTACATGTTTGCATCCAGTTAGGCCAGCGCATTTGGATTGTTTGTCAAAAACACCAGGTGTTTGTAGGTGTGTGGGTTAATTTCAGGGTTTTCAACTCTATTCCATTGGTCTACCTGTCTATTTTTGGGCCAATACCAAGCTGTTTTCAGGACTATAGCTCTATAATAGAGCGTAAAGTTAGGGATGGTGATGCCTCCAGAAGTTCTTCTATTGTACAGGGTTGTTTTGGCTATCCTGGGTCTTTTGTTTTTCCATATAAAGTTGAGAATTGTTCTTTCAAGGTCAGTCAAGAAATGTGTTGGGATTTTGATGGGGATTGCATTGAATCTGTAGATTGCTTTTGGCAAGATGTTATTTTTAATATGTTGATCCTGCCTATCCAAGAGCATGGGAGATCTTTCCATTTTCGGGTATCTTCTTTAATTTCTTTCTTTAGAGACTCAAAATTCTTAGGGTACAGGTCTTTCACTTTTTTGATTAGTGTTATACCAAGGTATTTTATGTTTTTGTGGCAATTGTAAAGGTTGATATTTCTCTGATTTCTTTCTCCACCAATGTGTCATCCGTATATAGTAGGGCTACAGATTTTTTTGAGTTAATCTTGTATCCTGCCACTTTGCTGAAGGTGGGGTGCTACCAGATTCAGGGAGCAGGGAGCTCCTCCCTGCCTGGGTGTGTCTACCCCAAGCTGGCAGGTGCAGGCGGGGGTTGGGGGATGGTTGAGGTGAGTGATGTTTTGGATGGGAGTTGGGTAAGGGCAGAGACTCACTCACCTAGTTCCTGGGTCGGTCATCGGAAAGGCCATAAGTATGATTTCTAATGATCTGATTTGATGAATTTTGTTGAAACTGGTTGGTGAAATCAGATTCTTTTTGGAACTTTTATTATTTTTTCATATAATATATTTGGTCATATTCTTCCTCTCCTCCAACTCCTCCCCAATCCTTCCCACCTCTCTACCCACCCAACCATGTTATTTCTTTTTCTCTCAAAGACCAGATTTTATTAACATTTGTTTTTCTTGTTTTCCATTTACATATATAGATACACATTGCAAAGAAGATATTTAAAATATAAGACTATTACTTCAGAAATATCATGTAACAACTGAATTAATCTTCTAAGTATAGAAATATATAGGTTTCTGATCATAAGCATAAAATTAATGTATAAATTCCTAGATTATTTGGTTGGACATAAATTCTCTTTAAAAACAACAATATATATATATATATATATATATATCTGTTAGTATAAGTTTATATTCATGAGTGTGTGTGTGTGTGAGAGAGAGAAAGAGATAGATAGATAGATAGATAGATAGATAGATAGATAGATGAAACCCTAAGGCAGAATGCCATACTGCATAGATTCTATTCCTGGTTCATTCTCTTGTTCTCTGGTTGGAAGCAGATGGTGGCCTTTGGATCTGCTCTAGCAGAACCGTTTCCTCAGATCTCTTCACTTCACAAGGTGGCTTCATCTGAAATGACTGTTTTCCACACACATGAAGACCAGTTTCACCAGTGTTTTGGTCTCTTCTTCCTCAGGCAGCCTTGTTTCTTCAGCTATTTTCCAAAGACCTGTGTCCACTCTCATGGCCAATGCTACTGAACCAACCATCTACTGTAACTAGAACTTCCATTCTTAAATTGGGACAGTAAAAGTAACCATGTAAGAACTAACACTGCATACACACCAAAGCACTTCTTTGGCTCCTCAGTGCCATGTTCTAAGTGTCAAGGTTCATCATACATTTCTGCCTATTCCCTGCCCCTGTCACCCACCCCTTCCACCTTGGTTCTTCCAGAGAATGGGTGTTAATGCTTCAGGAAGTCAGATGAATCACACTGGGAAGTCTTGTCTTAGATATTTTTTCTCACTACAAAACTCACAACAGTTGTCAAAGGTTTCAAAGATTCAAAAAATTCAATGAAAAGGCAGTGTGAGAGCATAGTTAAGATGGAAAAGGGCTTCATGGATGCCCTTGCAGAATTGTGCCAGGCCATCCATTTCTCTGTTAAGTCTTAGCACTTTAACCCTTTCAGTACCCTCATTGAGGTTTGCTTCATCTGACTGCTTGTTAGAATTAGGATAAATGAATGACAGCAGGGATACATGGATGACACTGTAAAACCAAGAATAAATACAAGTTTCTTGTCTTTGAGAAACAAGTATAATGTTTCTAAGAAAATACCTGCAAAATGTAAGATAAAGAGGATGACAAATGAAATCAAAACTTTCATAGCTTTCACATGAGCTTCTGTGTTGAGGTCTCTGAATCCTGAGACATGTGATTGCATATGCTTGTTGTGTCTCCAAAGGGACACGATTAGCAGGAAACATGCAGTTAGTGCCACCACAAAGAGGCAAATGACTCCCATATTGGATAAAACATAGTTTATAAGTAAGTCACTTTTCTCCAGGTGGAGCAGCCAGGGTGTGTTGTTAAAATGATGCATTTTAACATCTTTAACCACCTTTGTAGTTTGTGGGAAAGAAGCTAGCCATGTTATAATCAAGCACCCTAATAGAAAGACAAAAACGTTATCAGCTCTCCTCTTCAACCAGAGAAAAATGTAGTGAGAAAAATTTGCTATCTTCAGGAAATAGAAGACACTGAGGCTGGTGGCAAACCAGACATTCAGGTGGTTAATAATCACCCATATGTAACTGATGCCTTCACTTAGATCAATAGATATAAGCATATCCTGACAGAAAACCTTTGCATATGCATCGAATGTTATTATCCATATGGTAAAGATCCTGGAAATCGCCAAGCCCATGAGAATGAAGCCAATCTTAGAGAGCTTCTTGTTTTTGATCCAGTCTGCACAGTTTACAAGTGCGATGAATGCGTTCCCTAAGACTCCCAGCACAGCCTCAGTAGTGGCAACAAAAAGGAGGATGCCTTCTGCTGCACTCAGCATCTCTGCCAATTTTCAAGACTTCTCCTGTACCCGGTATGGGTCAGCTGCTGTAGAATTGTTGCAAGTAGGGTCTACTTGATTGTAGAAGTGATTTTTATCCTCTCTCATTAAATAAAGACTCCAGAGTTATTCATGAATGTGTGATGAAAAAATGAGAACTATTATTATTGTGTTCACTCCTGTGCTTCTGTAAGATTTAACTAGTCTACAGAATGTGTGCAGACTAATTATCTTCTTGCAATTTGTTAATATGCAAATTGAAGCTTCTGTTTCATGGATTTTACTTGTCCTACTGAGACTATTTTGCATTTAGTAAGCTGAATTATAAAATGAGGGTGTCATTTATATTTGTATGTAAAAATAACACACAAAACACAACATTGTATCACATCTTTTAAGTATGAAAATGAGACAGGAGATAGCCCTCTGTCTGATATAAAGGAGGGTCTACTGTAAATTAGGAGATGTACCTTCAAAGGTGAACAAGAAAGGGTATTTAAATAGCCTACTAAATGAGCAGCACAGTTTGACCAAGAGATTGAACAAAAGTGACCACATCCTCTACTGGAAGAGCAATGCATGATCACCTCTCCAGTTTGACTGAGGAGGTTTGTAAAGGAAGTGTGGCGTGCACACGGATTTGACTCTCAAAGAATATATTCAAAGAATGATCAACCCTGTTACGATAAATCTTTCCACCATAAGCTGCCTGAGCCCCATGGCCACGTGTGTGCTTTACGCCAGCTGCCTGCCCGAGTTAGGCCCAAATGAATACACAGAAACTTGTATTAGGTTTAATGCTGCTTGGCCAATGCATAGGACTTCTCATCTGTTGGCTCAGTCTTAACTATCATAAATCTATATATTTTATAAGACTTATTTTATCGGACACCTTATTGGCGCCCCTCCTTGTCGGTAGATCATATTGTTTTGCTGGAGGAGGCGAACAGGAAAGAGGGACGCTTCCTGTTTCTCCTTCGCTTAAATATGAGTCTCCTTGCTATGTCACTTCCTGCTTGGATCACACTTCTCTACTACATTTCCCAGAATCCTCTTTGACTCCTAGTCCCGTCTACTTGCTGTCTCATTGCCAAACAGTATTTTATTTAACAATCAATAAGATAAACATACATAGAAGTACTTCCCCCATTATCTCCTCTTTTCTGTCTAAAAGGATAACTTATCTTTTATAATAACTGAGGAAAACTATAACCGTAACTATCTATCTTCAACTCTATCAAAGACCATAGAAGGATAATATATAAACTCTAGAATTGACAGAGACTTCTTGCTAGCTGGACAGTCATCCAAAGTTCCTCTTTAACGTTGGGGCATCCATCTTTAGCCTATAGGCCATGGTGTCTAGCATACTTCTCCATTTTAACAGGAACCCTTCAGTACTGTCTTGTTTTGTAAGTTCAGCAGTCACTTTCTTGTGGGTCCTGTATGTCCAGTTAATACAGCAACAAACAGTCCAGGCAAGAGCAGTTTCTTGCCCAAATGGCTAATCTTGCCATGTTGAAAGCAAACTCCATAACGAGTTTCTTCGATGCCCTTCCTCCTTTCTGACATAATTGGTGTGCCAGGAGCAGTTGTGTCTCATTGCCAAGAAAAGCCCTATGACATTTAAATGGCATATTTCTGTAGGTCTTTGAAAGGTTTGAAGAATACCTAACCATCTCAAATACATCTCTGTAAATATAGAAAACCTAACTAACCTAATTATAAGTTCTGACTATTATAGGTAAAGATCTGTATAAACACGATACCTACACAAGAGGAGAGATATACATATCACAAAATTGACCTTAAAGTTGTATCAATAAATGAAAATCTTTACCAATTTAAAGTATTCATTTCTATATCCTATTCTTCCTTTCTTTCTTTAAAAAGAGATTTACTGTGTTCATTATCATTTATAACTAATCCCATTTAAATGAAAACAAACATTTATAAACAATATTTGGGAATATGGGCATCGTTCTTTCTAAACTGCTTTCTGCTGATTGGGGACGATGTTCATTTACCATAGGGATCATGATAAAACATAGAAATCTGACCAAGTCCTTGTTTTTGTAGTCTGTAAGGCTGTATCATCTCAGCTTTAGGGGGTCTTGCTTGATCAAACCATATTAGTCTGGAAGGAATACATAGCTTTTTATTTTTTGTGGAAATACAAGTAAAACCTTTATTTCTAAGTAGCCTGTCTTTAAACTTAAATTTTGAAGTCAAAGCATTTTTAAAATGTAGAAGTTAGATTAATTTAGCAGCATTTATAATCAAATGTATTTTAGCAGTGGTAAATCTTTCCTTGACAATCAAACAATTTAAAGACAGCAGTATGGCATTTAATATCCAGATTCTCTGTGTATTTTTTTTTAATCTCTTGTGGTTTTTTTATTACTTTATTTTTACTTTCTTTTGTTTCTTTTTTTCGAGACAGGGTTTCTCTGGAAATCTGCCTGCCTCTGCTTCCTTTAGTAAATCCTACTGGCATTGGCCACCATAACCGGCTACTCTATTTTCTCCTGTTACCTTTTCTCTCACAAGCCCATATATATTTTTAAATGTAGTGTAAATCTTTAGAAGTTTTTTTTTTTTTTTTTATCTGGTTCTGTCTTTATCATCTTGGGAGTGTCGAGTCTAAATCCCAGAAGCGCCGGGACGGCTCGAGTAATGGAAGTTGCTCGCATGCCGCTTAGTGGCCCGACAGGGCAAGCTGTGGCGGAATGTTTACCTCTTTTTTTGGGAACCTTGGGGCATGGAGTCATCCCATTTCTGACACCATTCTGTTATGATAAATCTTTTAGCCAAATGCTGCCTGAGCCCCACCGCCATGTGTGCGCTTTACGCCAGCAGCCTGTCCGAGTTAGGCCCAAATGAATACATAGAAACTTGTATTAGGTTCAAAGCTGTTTGGCCAATGACTAGGACTTCTCATCTGTTAGCTCAGTCTTAATTATCATAAATCTATATATGTTATATGACTTATCTTAACGGACGCCTTATTGGCGTCCCTCCTTGCTGTGGATCACATCATGCTACTGGAGCAGGAGCGGAGGGAAAAGAGGGACACTTCCTGCTTCCTCGCTTAGATATGAGTCTCCTTGCCATGTCATTTCCTGTCTGGATCATCATTTCTCTACTACATTTCCCAGAATCCTCTTTGACTCCTAGTCCTTGCTTGCCATTGGCCAAACAGTATTTAATTCAACAATCAATAAGATAAACATATACAGAAGTACTTCCTCCATCACAACCCAATAAAGATGACTTTACCCAGTTCCTTAGTGCCTTGCTTATGCCTTGTAGGAGGCCACTGGGTAGGACAGCAAGGTAGTATCTTTCTTTTGGGGCAACCTCTCCCACTCAAGAATAACGCTAATAAATATGACTTGTTCTGTTCAATCTTTGACCATATTTTCTTATTCTTGGTGTGAGACAAAGAATCCAGAAGTCAATGATTCGGGGATGGTTTGATGACCATGATCATTCAGCTACCTTAGATCTCTGGGTTAAGCTCACCAGGGTCAAGGAAAGCTCCACCACACACACACACATACACACACACACACACACACAAAAAAAAAAAAAAAAAAAAAAAAAAAACAAACAAAAAATCATATAATTTGGAGGTATCAAAGAGATTTCAAGGGGACTGGAATGGACCAGGAAAGAAGTTAGCTGCCCTCTGTCACTATCTTTCTGCTATACTCCTCCCCTCTGGGCATTTCAGTAACAAACATTTAAAACTTCACATTTTTATATTCTTTATCAATGTAAATATTAAAAGTACTCTACCCATCCACTAAAGACACATGTTGTAAATATTGTCCTAGATACTACTCTCTTTGAAGCTTAAATCACCTTAGGCAACAGGAATTTTCCCTCCTCAATGCAGTTCTATCAATCTGCTTTACAGTTTCCTCAGTGTTGAATCACATTTCCTCACGGAAGACTCAAGTCTCCAGTCTTTGACTCCAAATACTCACTAGATAATATTTGAGATGGTCTTCCAGACTTTCAAAGCCCAGATAGATGAATGTACAGTCCATGTGTCGCAATTTAGGGGCAGTTAGAAAATCCAGTTCCAGTGTCTATATATTCAAACTGCACTAGATGGGATGACTTTTGATCCAGAGACACTTGAAGGAAAGAGAGACACCTACAACTTGATGACAACCAAAGACAGTGTTAATGGCCCTGAAGGAACTCCCCAAGGAAGGGAACTTCCTCCCAAAATGTCACTGGGCAGATAGATGATGATGACCTAGGAGTCTATGCTGACGTTATCTCTTTCCCTTCCCATTTTTTGAAACAAACATGGGAAATGTAGTTTAGCCCAAATATAAGTTAAAAAGAGAAAGCAGTGAGGGTGAGGATGGCACTTCCTTCAGTATGAATACTGTTCTATTATTTAGCTCTAAAGTGGAAAAGATAACTGATATTGCATGACTATTTACAATTTGCCCTTTCTCTTTAACTGAGCATTTACTTCAGTTATTAATGGTCAGTTTAGTCCCTATGTCTATAGCGCTTAAGATGCTCGTTTTGTAAGAAAAATCGAGCCTCTTACTGTTCAGATTTGGGATTGATAATTGGTTAGTGCTACAGGAGATTTTGAATTCCCTCAAGGATACACACACCTCTCTCACTCAAAGATGCACCCAGGGATCTGTTTTCCCTCCCTTGAGCATATTTATTTCACTTTTACTCTCTGCCTAGACATACAATGGAAAGAAGACAACTTTATTTTTTTAACCTGAGGTTTTAGAGGGGAATATGAGTTAGGGAGTGGTGGCAAAATGCAAATTAACTAAAATTAACCTTGCCACTTTTGTGTACTAGGGATCTAAAGTGTAGATAATGTTGAGTGAATCACCACCTTCTCTCATAATCTGGTTTTTCACAGTGAAGGACAAAATGTATGTATTACTGCCTATTCTCGAGGAAACACAGCTGGACATGGTCCTTAGAGTGCAGCTGTTCAGTTGAAAATT